TTCCAGCAAATTTGATAGCAACAATTCCTTGTTATTATTGGTCACATACTATTTATGTTTCATTTTGTTGTGTCCTAATCTTGTTAGGTGGTTTCTGATTAGTACTTGTCATTCCACTGTGTATCATTTTAATTCAAAATATCTCTTTGCATTTTTCTTGCATGTTGTTAATAAGGGGGAAAAAAAAAAGATAATGAAGATGACAATATTAGGAGGGATGTGTTATCATTAACAAAAAAGGACAGGATTTATATTAATTGTATACATGAGGGGAAAAAAAACTAGCTTAGTATACAAGGTTGATAGTTCAAGTTTCGCTGCCAATATGAGGACCTTGTCAATAAGCGATTTGTAAATATCTTTGTAAGTGCTCTTTAAACCTAAAGATATGTTGTGACTCTAATGAGTCTCTGAAATCCAACTTATCTAAATTTTTTTTGCTAATAAAAAAAATTGTGCAAGGAATATATGCACTAATTAGGAGGGTTGAATATAAGAAAAATCAACGTAAAATGCCAGTTAAGTAATCTAATTACTAAAAAAATTTATAATGAGTGAGCGTAATGTACCTATTATTATTTTCTATACCGGAGTTTATTATTATACGATCCTTATTTGCTACGAAATTCTTAAGTGATAATGTTTCTTACATGAAACTATACGGTATTATTCCTTGAACATATGACCTACATCTCTAAGAAAAGATGTACAAAAGACAATAATACTATTGAAGATAATTAGTGACGAGCACAGTTCATTTTTTGATAATTTATCTAAAATCTAAAGAATTCGTTGAACATAGAACTTATTAAGCTAGTAGCTTTAAATTGCATATTTTATTTGAAGAACTTTGAATTTTGGAGGGGAAAAAAAAAGTTGATTGTGAATTGCCAAACTAACACCCTTGGGACAAGATAAATAGTTAGTGAGTTATGGTGAACTGCAAAATATGTAAATACATAAGATCAAAATTTGATAGTCATATTATATATTCTTTGGCACTAATACATCAACATGCATTAGTAAATTAAGACCCATTTAGAATGATTTATAAGTAATTTCTTAATCGTGATTTACGAAATATGAGATAAACATGTGAGAAGAGTTTTATTTTGATTTATGTAAAATATGTTTGTAAGTGATTTTAAACGTTAATCTAAGTACTGCCTTAATATCTCAGCTATAAAGCCATGGCAGGTTGAGTTAGACATTTTTTTAAAAAAAAAAAACTTAGGTGTATAATTATTTGACAACACTTGCAATCCTCATTTTTGTCCCTGCATACTGAACTGGCATTCGCCATATTCATGGCATTCATCTGGGTTTCAAATTTTTGAAGATATCTGGATGGAGGATGCCAGGATGGTCCAGTTTTATGTGTTTAAAAATTGAACAAGGAAGGAGACTCGTACTTTGGGGGTTTGGGCGCAGGCCAGGAGAAGCATGAGCCATCAAATTGGCTGAGGAGAAGGAGAAAAGAAACAAAAACAAACAGAGTACAACATGTGTCAGTGCTCCTTCAGCCGAATCATACCGTACGATACATATTCGATCCATCTGATTCATCTCTCACCGCCAGATCATCAGCGCGTCTTCGCACGCGCGTCTTTCACTCCCTTCCTCCGCCCTCCCCTGCTGCGACCCCATCACATCCAATCCCCATCCAGCCTCTTCATTTATTGGATTTATTTATTTTTAATGTTATTGTTTGTTTGATTATTAAATTAAAACTTCTCGATTTATGACTTGTCCATTGGTTCTTTTTGCAAGATTGCATACAACAAGTTGATGACTATTTTCTTGTTAAAATATTTATTTAAAATTTAATTTGAAATATAAAAATTTTATGAACCGAGCACTTTAATGTTATCATTTGCCCTAAAAATATTATAAATTGGTAATGAAAATTTAAAATATTCATTATATGTTTTATATAAAATCAGACAACAAATTTTGATAAAAATAATATTATCACTAATTAAACACAAACTTCCCTAATAAAAATTTCACGGATAAAGACAAAATTGTAACTGCGATTACCATTACCATTATTTAAAAGTGAAAAAAACAAAAGTCATAATGTGTTGCCCTTGAATATCTAGATACTAGATAGCTTAATTTATTGCAGATTGAGTATTTTATAAGATTAATTATTAATAAAATAATGAATATTATCGGCCTAAAATATTTTCAGGTAAAAGGACCCTAAAATATAACATTTATTAATAAATCAAACTATTAATAATTCATGAATACTGTTAACTCGTTTAATGCATAATTGCCTATTTACTTTTATTCATTTTTTTATAGTTATATTTAGATATTGCATTATTTAAGTCCTAGGAGAAACTACCAAACCGGCAACTTTTGGTGGAACCAATCACTAATTCAAAAGACATACCTTAATTGTGACAGGCAAATAAAATTTTACCAATTAGAAATATATCATATAAAACAAAGATGGCAGCACATCATATTATTTGTATATTGTTATTTGATATTTAATATATTATTAGAAAATTATCAACTTAACAAATGATTTGGGATTAAATTTTATGTACTAGTAGGATCCAATTTATCTAAACTTCCCTTCACCAATTTTTTTTTTTTTTTTTAACTAGCAATGTGTTAAACACGCTACGGAAGGGTTGTGCTGTCATAATAGTTCTTCTCCCTCACTTGATTTAGGAGAGTCACAACTTAAATGTGACTTTTGAATAGATTTGATGGCAAAAATATTCCACAATTAGATTACATTCAACTCTTATCTTTAACTTATAAAACACAAATAATGTATGCTACATCATATCCAATACTATTTCATATCTTTAATATAAGAGTTAGTTAACTGATTTGACTTGAATAGATTAAAAAATTGATTTGGTTATTTATAATAAATAAATATTTTTTTAAAAAATACCATAACTAATTTTACGTATTTGTTAGAATTACCATTTGATAAAATTTTTAATATGCATAACTACTATAAGAATTATTTTTAAAAAGTAAATAAACATTAAAGACAAACTAGATTAGAATCTTTTATTTAATACTAAATTAAATGTCAAATTAACTTTTATATTTAAAAAAAAGAATATAACATATAATAATATTGTTTGTTTCAGAATTTTTCTAGTTCAAATATTGACATTTATGATTATTTATAGGAAAATGGCACATAAAGAAGTTTGAAAATGTGAAATGCCAATTTAGGAAGCTAAGAAAATGTAATAATAGAGATGGAAGTCCTTCTCAAATTGAAAATTTGAAATTCAGTGAAATAATAAAAATACCCTTTATCTTTTTTTTTTTTTAAAAAAACCTCAACTTCTTATCGGTGGCTGGCGGCTGGCAACCACCAGTCATCGGCGACTGGTAGCCACTTGTGGCCACCGGTGTGGTGATTGCCGGTAAAACTTTTTTGTCATGATATATATATTTTGGACATAGGAGAAAATGGTTTAAAGTGGCGGGGTGGGATTTGATCCCACAATTTTTTGACCATTTGGGCAACAAAAAAGAAGATGACCATTGTGCCGTCAAAGATTTCTTAATCTTATAATGCAAACAAAAAATAAGTTGACTCTTTTACCGTGACTTCAGCCTGTGACAACAATCTACCAGAGGATGACAAGTCTTGATTGAGAAATAAAAGTCTAAATTTGATATTAACAAAGCAACTTTTTCTAATACATAACAAGAAGTAGCATGTATATTAATTAAAAATAACCATAATTTATTTAAAAATGAGACGTCTTTACTGAAAAATGACAATTCTAAATTTGACATTAACAATGTGTCTTTTCCTGATATATAACGAGAAATAACATGTATATTAATTAAAAATGACTATAATTTATTTGAAAATGACACGTTTTTATTGGAAAATGACACGTTTTTAGTGAAAAATATCAACAATTTATTTAGGAATGTAATGTTATTTCTTGTTATATATCAGAAAAATTGCTTTGTTAATATCAAGTTTAAACTTGTCATTTTCTAATGAAGACGCGTCATTTTTAAATAAATTATGATCATTTTTAATTAATGTAAATGCTATTTCTTGTTATATATCATGAAAAGATACATTGTTAATCTTAAATTTAGACTTGCCATCTTTTAGTAAAGACGTCTCATTTTCAAATAAATTATAGTCATTTTTAATTAATATACATGCTACTTCTTGTTATGTGTAAGAAAAGTTGTTTTGTTAACATCAAATTTAAACTTGTTATTTTTCAATTAAGACTTGTCATTCTCAGATAAATTGTTATCACGGGTTGAAGTCATAGTGAAAAAGTCAATTTATATTTTTGTTCGCATTTATAGGGTTAAGAAATTTTTGATGGCCTAATAGTCATCTTCCCTTTTGTTGGCCTAATTAACTAAGGGGTTGTGAGATCAAATCCTACCCGGTCACTTTGAACCATATTCTCCCATGTCAAAAAAAAAATATTGTGACAAAAAAACTTTACCAGCAGCCACCACACCGGTGGCTAGTGCTGGTGCCCGGTGGCTGCCGCCGGCCACCGGTGAGGGGCTGAGGTTTTTTAAAATAAAAAAAGAAAAAAGACAAGGATATTTTTATCATTTTACTGAATTTTAAAATTCTAATTTGAAATGAACTTCTCTCTCTATCATTATATTTTTTTAAGGGGTGTTTGGCATTTTTAAAACCGCAGTTTCAGAAGCACTTTTCCACAAAACGAGACAACTTTCTTCATATATTTACTTCGTAATCTGTAAAAACATTTCTGAAATCATGGTTTGGTTTCTATCCAAACACCCCTTAGCTTCTCAAATTCACATTTCATATTTTTAAGCTTTTTCATGTGTCATTTTCTCTTATTTTATTTTGGATTGGACTCGTAATTTGGAGTTTGGACTCCATCTGTCTCTGTCTCTCTCTTACTCTGTTTTTTTCCTTTCACAGCTGATAATTTGATAATCTCTCTCCTCTCTTCTTTCTTCTCCACGATTCTCTATAAAAACGCCGAACCAAATAGAAGCAAAGCCAAAGCCTCTTCCTACTTTCTAACGCCAACGTCTCTGTGATTCCCCGTCTCCTTCACTGCTCTCTAACTCCAAATGGACAGGCCGGAAACCGAGCCTTGGAGGCCTGACCCCTTTCATTCCGTCATGTTCAGGCCGCCGGAGACCCCGCGTGAGCCCATGGAGTTCCTCTCTCGTTCATGGAGCGTCTCTGCTCTCGAAGTCTCCAAGGCTCTCTCCCCTGCTCAGCTCTCGCTTGGAAAGTCCCCAAATGGAGGTCTCAGCGGCTCCGCCGCCGGCGCTCACGGCGGTCCTATTCTTGAAGACATCGCCGGCGAAATCGAAGAGAATGCCACCGTTTCAGGAAACCCATTCTCTTTTGCTTCCTCCGAAACTTCTCAGATGGTGATGGAGCGTATTATGTCACAGTCGGTGAGTGAGCTCACGCTTAGTGGAGCAGAGCATGTATGTACGGTTAAATTAAAGAAGTTTTTGTTTTTGTTTTTCTCAGAGGATGAGACGGTTTTTTTTTTTAAAGGATTTTCGATTTTTTCTCCCAATCTTTCCTGAAGATAGACACTTCTCTAATGGATTTATGTGACTGTTTTCCTTTGTGCTTTTTGTTTTTTTCCTTCTGGTTCTTGCTAGCCACTCTTGTCTTTCACACTTTCAGAAGCTGATTTTGGTTTCTAGCTATCTTTTGTCTTGTTCTCAAGTTTAATCAAATCCTTTTATCCCCTTCTTCCCGGTTTTTCAAATTCCTTGTTCTTCAGTTCTTCAAGATTCCATTGTTTTCCATTCCCTGGTATTCTTCTTCACAGGAGTATATCACGATTACTCCCTCCTTTCAGTTTTTAATAGAATTTCAGTTTATTCCTTGCTGTTTCTTCACATTTTTTGTGCGCCAATTCTCTCAGATTCCAATTTTTATCGCACACCCACTAACAGAACCACAATCATTCCCTCCCCTTTCTCTCTCTATCTTTCTCTCTCTCTCTCCTCACTCCTCACTCCTTTTTCATTATCCGAACGAGTTTGGTTGCAACAATCAGTGGCGCTTTTTCTTCTTCTTCAGAAACAATAACTGACGCAATTATTGCATTCACTCGTGCAGCAGGAGGTATCTCCACGCACTTCAGGCAGGCTCTCTCACAGTAGTGGCCCTCTCAACGGAACTCAGAGTTGTGGCTCCTTGACCGACAGTCCTCCTGTTTCTCCCTCGGAAATCGACGATGTCAAGGTATGTGTCCCTCTTTTTCTCGTACGGGTACCACACCATGTTTCCGGGATAAAAAAAATTGAGTCCTATGAGGTCCATCGTGACGATTTAATTTGTGTTTTTAATAATAATTATAATTTTTTTCCTGTTCTAGTACAGTATTATTATTACTGCTTTTCTTGCTTGCCGGTGGCCTCCTTGCCGGAATCTGACATCTACCTAATCCGACAACATGTTTGCTGCTGTTGTTTTTAACTTTTGGTCCGAAACACGATCACTGGTTTCTCTGCTGCCTACTTAGAACCGAGCATATAGTTCAGCTTTCACTACAACCAACGCTCTTTAATGATATACCCAGAGAGAGAAATGGCCTGGACTGGTGGTGGTCGTTCTTCTTCTCGTTACTATCTTCAATGCCTTAATTAATTCAACTCGTTTTCATTTTCCTACTTCCCATGAGACATTTACTGACTAACTCCTTAATTTATGTTTGATTAGATTAAGACTAAAACTCGCTGTGATAAGGCGGTTAAACGAAAATGAAAACGGAAGCAAGCTTACTATAAAAGATAAGAATATTTAATTTTTATCCGGAAACTTTTACTTTTAGCTATATTTGTTGCTGTTTTCTCTTCCTAGTTCGACCCCATTAGTTTTCGTTGGAAACTGTCCTGCGAGTCCTATTTTAGCAGAACACAGCTTCGAAATTCGTCTCTATTGCGATTTGCAATAATGACTGATGGACCCGATAAGCACGAGGTGGGTTGCTTGTATTGGGATTTCTTAGCTTGAGTTTTCAACGGTTATTTCATTTCTCTTTCTTTCATTTGATGTTGTCTCTGAGAAGAAACAAGAAAATCGGATAACAGATTTTTGCACATGGTTTTGTTGTTCTGTTTTCGGAGTGAGTTTGTTAGTAACAATGGACCCCGCGAATTCCTTTCTTCTGCAGTATAACCGCCCCACCAATAACAACTTGAATACCCAGTTCCGGCCAACCAACGTGGCCGGAAGTACTGTAGCGGTCCCCGCTGGTGGTGGGAAGACTGTCGGGAGGTGGCTAAAGGATAGGAAGGAGAAGAAGAAGGAGGAAACCAGGGCTCAAAATGCTCAGCTTCATGCTGCCATCTCTGTCGCCGGTGTTGCAGCTGCCGTCGCGGCCATCGCTGCTGCCACGGCAGCATCGTCCGGAGCAGGTAAAGATGAACAGATGGCAAAAACTGACATGGCTGTGGCCTCGGCCGCAACGTTGGTTGCTGCTCAGTGCGTCGAGGCGGCAGAGGCCATGGGAGCTGAGCGTGATCACCTTGCATCCGTGGTCGGCTCCGCTGTGAATGTGAGATCCGCCGGAGACATCATGACATTGACTGCGGCAGCGGCTACAGGTAACGGAAATAATTGAATATCCGATTTAAAACTTCATGAAAATCTCAGAGTGTTTTATCCGATTTAATTTCAATCTAAATCTTTAAGAGATATTAAAGATAAAGCTAAAACACCACCATACATTCTTCTGAGCATCACATATTCTATACTTGCATGAATTGAAATGGTACAGATTACAAAACAGTTTCAAAGCATTAAAAATTGTCAAGGGCCCTATATGTTGTTTTTTGAGGACCAATATATGATTTGATCTTTGTGATATTGACATGAAGCTAGCTGATGAGGCCAATTCTGTGCCTTGTGGTTTTTGAATTCACAGCTTTACGTGGGGCAGCCACATTGAAAGCAAGGGCCCTCAAGGAAGTTTGGAATATTGCAGCAGTAATCCCTGTAGAGAAAGGTGTGGGAGCTAGTGGCAATGGAAGCACTGGCAACTCGAACAGTAGCTTTAGTGGCGAATTAGCCCCGGAAGAGAATTTCTTAGGTATCTGTAGCAGAGAACTACTAGCCAGAGGCTGTGAGCTCCTTAAACGAACTCGGAAAGGTAAAATTTTTTAATTGGAGAGATACAGGACATGGCATCATGTGATTTAACAAGCATAGGACAAGAACATAATGTTGTTTCTTGCTGAAATTTTGATGTACATGGTGATTAGTGATTGTTTTTGTGTTTTGATTTGACAATTGCAGGTGATCTTCATTGGAAAATTGTGTCAGTTTACATAAACAGGATGAACCAGGTGTGTGACCTTTATTCTATCTGTTTCAGATAATGTCCTTTGTTTTTTGTTGGATACTAGACAATGATGAATGACCAATCAGTGGATAATTATTTGGGGATCATCGATTAGGAGCCATGGTTAATGATGAGTGTGAACCTGATCATATGGAAAAAAGCTAAGGAAATGTGGGGGCTCTGATAGAAGGATGGTGATGTGTTTTAGGGTTGGATCTACTTTATTTTCTTAGTAATCTTCAATCTTTAACTCTTTTGAAGTCTCTTTTTGTGCAGGTTATGTTGAAGATGAAGAGTAGACATGTTGCTGGGACCATCACAAAAAAGAAAAAGAGTGAGTTCCTCTTTAGTGTGTTCTTTGATTACTTTTGTCTTTCTCTAATAATTATTTGGTAACAGATTTGGAGGTGGGTCTTCTTCCATTTAGGGATTTGTGAAAGTCTCTCGTCATTAAAGTTTCAAAACATTAAAGTGTTCTTCTTTAATTCCTCACCCCCTCTTTTTTTGAATTTTCAAGATGCAGTGCCAGAACTCACCCTGATGCTTTTCTTGCTTTTGAATTCTGCAGATGTGGTAATGGAAGTGATAAAGGACATGCCGGCCTGGCCCGGCCGCCACCTGCTCGAAGGCGGTGAGAACCGGCGCTACTTTGGGCTGAAAACAATGATGCGAGGCGTCGTTGAATTCGAGTGCAGAAATCAAAGGGAGTATGATGTGTGGACTCAGGGAGTCTCAAGGCTGCTCTCTATTGCTGCTGAAAGGAGTAACAAGAACAAAATATGAACTTTTTTCTTCTGAAGGAAGGAAAGATTGGAAATTTTTGGCAGAAATTGGAGGGATATAGGATCCTCCATGGTGGGGTCTGATCAGTGTAAAAAGGGGCTAGAGAAAAAAAGAAAAAGAAAAAGAAAAAAAAACTAAAGGCATAGCTATATGGTCTAGAGATGGGGTCTTCTTCAATATTGTGGAACATAGGTATGAATATGATGATGATGGGGTTTTGTTTTTGCTCTTGTGTGTTATATTTTAGTGTGAAATGGGATAAAAAGTAAAGTGTATGGGAGCCAAAGTGAAGAACACAAGCATGTGAACTTAAGGGGATGATCTTTACTCTTTCACTGTTGAGGGAAAGAAAAGGGGTATCTTGTACTGGGCTAGTCAAAAAAGAGAAAAGGGAAGAGCTCCACATTTGGTGTTCCTTAAAGTATTAATATTTTCAAGATAAAGACAGGCACAATACCCTGATCCCATGAAAGCATTTTGTGTAATACCATGTGGGTTCTGATGGTTTTTGTTCAAGTTTTTTTGTTTATGATGTAGTAGCAGGAAGAGCCATCATTGGTTTGGACAATGATCTCCCCACTTTATTATTATAGTATATGGTACTCAACATTGTCTCTTTATAAAGTGCTTCACAGGTTGGTGAGAAGAGGATTAAGAAAATCACATCACGAGCCTTGAGAATGTTTCCTAGATATTCTAACGTGGATACTGTTTGTGATGATAATTAATAACAAAAATAAAGCACTTCTATGCGTTTTTTCCCGAATAAGTTCGTGAGCATATCAACGTAAACTAATAAACAGGGAAAAATGATAATAGGACATCATGTAACAAAATTAATCTGACTGTTTAAAATTTCACCATATATCTATTTGTATTATTCAATTATCATTTTCCGTTCATAAAAATTCACGATCAATATATTTTAATTTCAATTAATGGTCTGGTCTCCAACTTTGTTTCGGCTTCTCACGGCCCTTGTTTGACCAGCAGTTAAATTATAATAATTGTGACTTGATTTTTCTAAAATATATGTGTCTCATTAAATTATATATTGCTTCATAATATAATTTGAGAAAATAACGGTAAATATGATAAACAGAATTGACTGTGATATACAACCCTACAACCAGCTTCGGAGGGATTATACGCTGAAGTTTGTCTAACTTGAAAAAGTTTTAGTGTTAGAAACCATATAAAAAAAGAATCTCATTAATTAGTCAACATTTTTATTAGCCAATTAGCAGTTCTTAGAGAATATACAAATTCATGAAGTCGAAATGTACAAAACAGAATATGGAGTATTACATGGCAAAACAGTGCATTCAAAAGATGTAACGAAACAGGAGATGTGTAGCTTTATGATTCTGATTCAATTTTTAAGAGCACAGTATGAAATAATTATTATTAATCAGACAAAGTGTTCAAATTCCAGACTCCCAGACTGAGATGCTGGGATCCATTCAGCTTTTGAAGCATTGAGGTTGAAGCCTTTTGTTGAATGGGTGGACAGCAATTTTATGTACGACTCACAGTTTGCCTATTTGGGATATGAAATTATGAATGTATAAAATGCCTGCACATTCCATAATCATTGAAACAACTAAATAGCCTTTCTTTGAATCCAAGTCTGTCGCTTCACACTTTTATTTTGAACAACATCCGATCCAAATAATGACAAATTAATTCTTTATTAGCTCACCCTCATGTTCTTTGTTTTATAACATAAGATTTGAACTTGAACGAATTAGCTGACAAAATAATGGTTCTAATTCCTTTCTTTGGTCAGTATATAATTTGATTAAATTTTAGTTTTTATCCCTATAATTTTAAATTGTAATTTTTCATCCTATAGGTTTTTTCTGTCCAAAAATTAATTGTTATAGTTTCATAGAGGCTTGGATATCAGTTCAGCAGGACTAACAAATAGGGATTAAAACTTGGAACTAAAAATAAAACTCCTTAAAAATATAGATATAAATATTTTCTTTTAATTTTTTAAAAGAAAATTAAATATTTGATCCCTAAGACTATGCACCAATTTGGGTTAACTTCCTAAGCTAAATCAAAGTGGGGCTTGATTTGGAATTCCCGTTTTGGCGCCAAAAAAAGACCACCCTCATGGATTCTCCATTGTTGGGCCTAATCCAATAGTGTAGGCCCATCATTTTGTGGCCCAATGAACCTTTAAAGGGCCCATCAATGTTTCCCGGTGAAAGATGAA